CACTTCAAAAAATTCAAATGCACAGATTCTGTTCATTTTATTAATGAAAAAACTTTCAGGGCCAGGAATTTAGCTCAGTGGTGCCATCGCCTGCCTCTCAAGCTCAAGGTCCCAAGTTTGTAAAAATCAATATTAAATGCTCTTTAAATCACTCTTTGAAAAACTTTCCTGGGGGGGCTTTTTACCTTTTTATTAATGATATCCCAGTGGCAAATATTTAGCCAATTAGATATGATAAGAAACCAAAAACCAAATACAATATTAAACGAATCATTCTTTCTCACTGTTTAGGAACATGATGAGTTTAATACAGACAGAATTAGAAAGCCCTGGGTTCAAGATCAGTCTAAACTGTGTGAAATGGAAGAAGATATTGATGAACTGAGTAAGAATATACAGAAAGAAATCTACTGTAGGTGAATCAACAATTATCTCACTACAAATAAGGAAAACTGAACATAACTATATATATATATATAAAGATACAGAACAATATGTACACCTCAATGAAGCAGCCGGTATAAATGTACCCTGTACCTTTACCCACACATCTGATGAATAAAATGAACAAAGACTTTGGAGACAGACTTGGATGTGAGTCCTGATACAAACTATCTAAAAGTTCACAAACTCAGTTGGGTAAAGACTACCAAATGTTCTCTGAGAAGCCAGTCCAACACACACAACCCCACAACCCACAACAGTTTGTTACAACACCTCCGATCTCTGAGGTCTGTGAGACAAGAAATCTTGCCAACACTGTGCACAACAAGACCTCAAATATCCTTAAAGCATTTTGACTGGAACTCAGGTTATTAATAAGTGAATGTATGTAATAAATCTGGGTAAAACTTAAAATTTACAAGACTCCTTTCTCTCCTTCAAGGCCTGACATAGTAAGTAAAATATCATAATGCTTCCAAGGATGTCTGGTCTCTGGCTATCAATTACCAACACACATATTGTTTTCTTAAGAAATGGAAAATATGGTTTTGCTACGAATTCAGCTTTTAAAACCTGATTATTTCCTAGGCGAGGAAAAAGAAAAAAACCCAGTGTATAATGTAATCGCAGCTCCATTTCATCAGCCATTGTCAAAACAGTGGGAGAGGGCAAGTCTGACATCCCAAAACAGGTCCCTCTGTGCTCCTAGCATACCATGATTCAAACCAAATTACTTCAATTATTCTTAGTGTGAACCAAAGCTCTGCAAAAGATCAGGCTTGGGATATGAATCTTAGGATCAAACAGTCTTAAATTAGATTTAATTTCTAACTTCTCTTTACAACCAAAAGCAATATCAGCGCAGGAGGTAGGAGGAGAGCTTCAGGCTGTGTGGACTAACTGTGATGATGGGACTTTATCGATTCATTAAATTATTAGTAGTAGGCATTAATTATGCAGAGAAACTAGAAACATGGGAATAAAAGGTTAAAATGATCAAAAGCACAAAACTAAAATTAGGAAGAAAGAGGGAAAACCAAGAGGATGACCAACAGGAGTCCTTAAGGTAAAATATCAGGGGTAGAAAAAAAGAAAAAACGCGCGTCAAAAACACCAAGGCCTGAAACCAAACCCTGGGAGAAAGCAGATAGTTCTGAAACAGTCAGGCGAGGGGAGGTATGGGAGACAGGCTGTGACCTGTGGCTTGAGAGAACTCTGGGCTCAAATCCTAGCTCTGTCACTTACCAGTTTTGGGATCCTGAGCAAGTTTCTTGAACCTCTCAACCTGGATTTCTTCAGCAGTAAAACAAGGATATCGACAGTGCCTATTTCACAGTGGCATTGTACAGCCAACCAGGATAATCCATGGAGAACTCTTAGCAGGGCTTGGCACAAAGAATGTGCTCAAAAAATTGCTGCTGTTATTCACAACTGCTGCATTTAAATCCAGGCCCTGCCACTTGCTAGCTGTGTCACAGTAAATAAGCTGCACACCCTCGCTGAGCCTCAAAAACCTCCCAAATATAAGAGGGATGATAACCAACCGTTCCACTGGGCTATGAAGATTAAATATGATGATCCATGTGTTCTGCATGACCTAAGACTTGGCACAAAGTGAACTCAGTACTCCATTTATGGGGCAGCTGCCATCATCACTATCATTATTTTGGGAGGGGGCTGGAGACCTCCCAGAGCTGGTAAAGAAGAATTTCCCTTTAGTTAGAGATAATTCTATCAGTAAAGACCACCCACAGTTCTCCCTCTTAAAAGCGTCCAGATTCCCCTCAGCTAATAACTCCTGACTTCACCAGGAATAAGGATCAAAGTGCTAAAGACAAGGGAGGGGATGGGGATGGATGCAGCTCAAAGATACGGCAGTGCTAGAGCTTGCCTAGTATATGTAATGATGTAGATTCAGTCAAGAGAGACAGACAGACAGGTAGAAACAAGGACAGACAGAGACAAAGACGACAACCCAAGGTAAACACTTACATGGAATTTGGGGGTCTGTGTCTTCTGGGGAGCCTCTCTGGCTTTAGCCAGGGCAGTGCTGAGCTCTTCCATCTCAGAGTTAAGTTCTTCGACCTGAGGAAAATACAGAATGGCAACCATGTGTACAACTGTACTTTCCTCTTAGCCCAAATGCTTTTCCTGCTCAATTATGTGGTGCTTACAGTAAAAACACCTTTGTATTAGAGTAGACCAGAGTAGGATTTCTATTCCAGACACTTACTAGTTGGGTGTCTTAACCTCTCTAAACTCAATTTCCTCAGCTGTTGCTACAGTTTGGATATGGTTTGAGCATCTCTCCCTAAAGATCACTGTTAGAAACTTGGTCCTCAGTGTGGTGATGTAGGGAGGCAGGACCTTTAAGAGATGAAGCCTAGTAGGAAGCACTTAGGTCCACTGGGGGCATACTCATGGGAGGGACTACAGGAACCCAGTTTCTCTGACTTCCTGTTTGGTGATGTGATCTCTCCCATCAAACACATGTAACCATCCGCCATTACTCCCTCACCAGAGGCTGAACACAGAGCGATACCGAATCCTGGATATTTAGCCTCCCAGCTATAAGCTACACAAACCTCTTCTCTTTATAGTTATCCTACCTCAGCTCTTCAACTGAGCTCTCTCTAAACTCTAGATGTCCTACACAACTCCCTGGAGGGTCTAGAGGTTCCTCAAAGTCAATGCTTTCTCAACAGATTCATCATCCGCACCACTGCCTCCCTTCTGCACTCACTCTCCATCTTCCATGCTCTGAACTGAGTGGGTGGCACCCCTAGGTCTCCAGTCGTGCAAGCCAGACACCTAGAGTCACCTTTGACCATTCCTTCTCTAAAGTACTGTATCTATCCACCAGATTTTCCCAAATGTATTTTCAATTTCTAATTATTTCTAGTTTTACTTTTCGAATACAGCCCTCTCCTTCCATTTCTACTGCCCTCATTAGTTTTCTTGGCTCTCATTTAGACTTCTTACCTCTCTGCCTCCACTCTCGCCCTCCGGAAATCAGCTCTCCGAGCTGAGAGCCAGACTCTCCAGAATGAAAATATGATCGCACCCCTGCTCAGCAGCGTACCACCCAAGCAGCTCAGTAGGACTAGTCCCACCACTGGCTGTCCCCTCGCGGCAGTCCAGCTTCTCCTCTCCTCTCTCACTGTACTCTGGCAACCCTAAACTGTGTGTGGTGGCACACACATGACATGTCAGGCTCTTTCCTAACCGAAGGCCTGACCAAATGTCCTCCTCTCCAAACTGCCCTCCCTGCCCTGCTTCCCTTCCTAGGGAGCACCCATCCTTCAAGACTCAGCTCAGACATCTCCTCTAAGCACACCCCATGCTCCCCACATCACACCTAAATCTGACCAGGTCCTCCCTCTGCCTCTGCAGTCCCTGCACTTCCTTCATCCACAATACCTCTCGCTCTGTCCAACAGGGAGCAGGGCTGCTATCTTCTATGTGTCAGGACCCAGCACAGCGACAGAACACAACACATCACTGTGCTAACTCATGACAAGAAAACAGCCACTGCCACTGCCTTGGATCTCAAAGGCAACAAGCCAGGTGGCTCTCTAACTGGTTCACAGTCCCGACCAAGCCTCCCCAAACTCCTTTATCTCAATTTTCCATTATCCTTCAAAAGATTAGTTCTCCACTGTTCAATGGGACAGCCACCAGCCATACGACATGTGGTGAGTCTGAATGAAGAAGTGCTTGGAATTCAACCTTTTAATACTAAAAAAATACTAAGTACTTCTTGTTACTTTTGTTTTATTGATTACATGTTGAAATGATAATGTCTGAAAGATATATATTATTAAAATTAATTTTACTGTCTTTTAACACTTCATTTAGTCACTAAAAAATTTTAATTATATGATTAACTTATAGTTTACTTTTATTGGATAGCACTGGATTGATACTCAAAAAGGCTTTCCAGTCAGCTAAAAGATCCTTTCTCCACTTTCTATGCTATCTTAGCTCTCTTATGAGCTTTCTAACTAAAGCTAAAAATTTAGGGTTGGACAGGCCAGTCACAGAAACTAATAAAGAAAAGTCTCACTTCAATGTATCACACATACCTCTTTTTCCTTTGATTTTAATGCCATGGTTAGGCCCTGAATGGCTTTATCCCTCTTTAAACTATTTTTCTTTTCTGTAGCAATTTCTCTTTCCTTCTCTCTTAGGTCCTCCTGAAGAGCCTAAATTAGATTAGAAAAAGATTCACTAAGTTGATGTGTTCCAACCAAAATGCACTGTAAATATATCTTTAAGAGCACACTCAGATACAGTTATTCTATCTCATTCCTGTCAACCTGTGATTAATGTTTCCAAGTCGAGCTGAACGTAGTGCCATCAACTCTGAGTTACTGTGTTGCTGCTCACGGCAACAGGGCCGGGTGAAGGGAAAGGGATCAGATCAGTTGAGGCAATGACAGCTATTCCTACGGGAAGGACTCCAATGCCTTCTAAAATTTGAATAGAGTCACGTTAAAGCCTTTGAATCTGTAGTAGGTTATTTGGGGGGAGGGGAAATAACAGATCATTAATTTCACTCCTTAATACTACAAAAGCTACCAAGAATTTGGCTTGATGGAGACTGAACTATACATTTATAGTCTGAGTTCATTTCTAAAGTTAATCACTGCTGCCTCCCTCCTGGGCTGTTGTGAGGATCAAACAAGATAATGGATGAGTACACTCTCTAAGCTGCAGGCCACGTACAAATGCCACTGCTGTGATGGTGGCCCGCAGAGCACTGGCTTGGAATCAGACTGGCAGGTTTGAATCCTTGGTATGACTCTTCCCAACCACATGCTCTTGGGCAAGTAACTTCACCTTTCCAAGACTCAGACCCCACATCTGCAGAATGGGAATGTCTACTTCATAGTTGCTCAAAGATAGAGAAACTTCCTCTAAGAAGCCATAAGTTTGACCGGCACACAGCAGCATTCAATAAGTGGCAGCTGTCACCACACAGAATCGCCTATTGCACTCAGAATGAAATAAAAGAATTATTATTTTTTTGAATATGAAATAAAAGTATTTATTACATATTTTAAATGTATTACATATTTAAAAAGTATTACATATTTTAAATTTATCAATATACCTGGATCTTCTCTTCAAACTGTCTTTTCTCCTTCTGCGCCTCCATTTGTGCAGCCTAAGAAAAGCCATTCATTAGTGACCAGAAGGGAAGGCACCCACAATCCAATAGTTTCCCCAAAGCAATTAGATCGAAAACTTCATTCCCTTGCTCTCTCCCACTGCTGTGCAACTCATTAAAACAAGTCCTCCTCCTTCTCTCTATCCCATTCAAAGTCCCACTTGATTTGAGTGAAGAAAAATGTGAAAACAAGCAGCCCACACTGATTGATGAGCAGCCTCATCAACAATAAACCATGGTGCTGCAGAATACATGAAAAGGGCCCACTATACGACAGGGCCTGGGAAAGGAGAAAGAGGCTTAAAAGGAGGGACAGAAGACAACAGACAACTCCAGATGAAAACTAACTGACCTCCTCCACGAGGAAAGCCAGACCTCTCCTGAACATTCAGGAGCGCAACCGATGAGAGGGAGCACACACAGCAACCAGCCTCGGTTGGACAACAGAACTACCCATGCTTCCCCAACTTTTCCATCCTTCACAAAAAGCTTGCCATGGAGGCCACCAGGGGTTGGGAGTCCAGCATACTTTGGGGTCAGCTGCTAATAACCCCCTTCTTGGAGCTTGGAAAAACAGAACAACTTCTCTGGGGCTAATTCTAAACTCCCCAGCTGTGCACTCTACCCTGCCAAGTGGCTGGAGGATGAATGATTCGCAGAGCCCCTTGCCTGCTACCTGGCCAGTATGCTTAGTTCCCTTTTCTCCTTGCCTCTGAAGCTTCCATCCAAAGTTGGTCCCCAGCCTGCCCCAACCACAAAGGTAAAATGGATGTATACACCACACTACAATCTTATCCCAAGAAAGCCCAAAGAGTGAAAATAAAGTCCCGGGGCAATATCACATTAATACAGGGTGAAACAGAGGTGAGCAAGTACAGGACCGTCTTTTAACCAACTCTTTACAGGAACGTGAGGTGGGGGATATGCTGGGGCCACTGACAAATGCTGTTTCTGCTGATCCCTTGCCGACAAGGAATTTGTACTTGGAAGCCGGCTGTGCACAAAATGTAGACCGAGTGGCGTTCCCTCTCCCACAGAGGAGTCTGATCTGCTGCAGCCCCCCTTCGTGGCCCATTGCCTCACCTCAGCATCTCTCTCTTTTTCTTCCCTCCGAGCAGCAAAAAGTCCTCGGAGCTCTCCAGATAACACATTCTCATCAGGAGATGCCATCTGAGATTTCTGCTCTTTAAGGCACTGAATTAAAGCTTCTTTGCTCTTCAAAGACAGCTTCAACTCCTCAATCAGTCTAAAAGAGAACAAAATTTAAATATTAATTCTAAGCTGTTCTCTTAGCTCAGTGGAGTAGAAGGAGGCAGGAAATGGGACCAGACTTCTTCAAAGTACACATGCCCAAGACTGAACATAAACAGAATCACGTTTTGCAGGTAACAGATCGAGGGTCAAGAATCTGTGTCCCTTGGCTTCAGCCTGACCCCAGGTGACCCAACTCTGGGCTGCCAGACTACGGTCTGGTCATGTCACACCTCTGCTCTAAGACCTTCAACTGCCCCCACCAACGGCAACAGATAACTCATTTTGTTTTGTTTTTTCCAAGAAATCCTCTCTCTGAAAGAAATTTCCCATCGATGCCTATACAAACACAACACAATGAAAGTGCTTCTGGGAAAAACAAGGATGCCTCTCCACAGCTTCTCAGGGCAAAGCTTAAAAATACATTGACTTTCAAGCTAAAGGCCAAAGTTCTGGGCAAGGCATTCAAGGCGCTAACTTTTAGGGCTGTAACAGTCTCAATCTCCTCTGAGACCACCCTGTCCACCATCACTTGGTAGCCTCACTCCCAGCTCTCCCCAAAGCCAGGCTGTCTTGTGCCTCTATTTTTGGGGTATGCTATGCCCTCTACCTGGAATGCCCTCCCCAAGCCCACCTCACTTCCCCCTTATAAACACCCATTCTTCCCATCTGAGGTAGTTAAACAGCTTCCCCTCAAGGAAGCTCTGCCCAGCACACTAGGGAAAGCTGAATGCATCCATCTCTGGGCCACAAAATTCCCCACGTCAACTGCTCCCTGACCACAGCAAGTCATTCAAACGCTCTATGCCTGCATTTCCTTGGCTTAAAATGGGATAACTGCTCACATGAATTACAGATAAGCTATTTTAAACAACCCTGCATAGCTCTTGGCATATGGCAGAATTCAACAAATGACAGTCACTATAATTATTACTATTTTTTACCTTCAACAATTAGCATTTTGTCAGTGGACCCTTTCTGCAGCCTTTCTGTAGCTAAAGCTAGACGCAACTGAGCACGGCAGAAAGAGCAGAGGCTCCCAACGCCAGCAGAGGTGCACTCAGGAAGCACCAGGAGGTGGGAGGGAGACACAGGCAACTGAAACACTCAGCAACGCTCTGGGGTCAGTGTGATAAGCAGCACCTGTGTGATGCCCCAAAAACCCACAGGGAGGAGTAAGGCTGCCCTCTAGGGGTTCAGCTCTGAAATCATAACATAATCCATTGGATAGGCAAAAAGTTACCAAACTATACACTTAAAATAGATGCTTTGTATTGTGTGTAATTTACAACTCTAAAAATTTGATTTTTTTTTTTTATATTTGCCACAAAGCAAGATCTAGATAGGGAATGAAAAGACCAGGGCAGGCCTGTTGGGGACTAGGGCCTTCTGAAGCACCAGCCTACCCACAGGAGCAACGGCCTCCATCCAGCAAGATGCGCCCGATGCTGCTGCTTCTCCAGGTCTCCAAGTGAAGTGGAAATCCAGACGTGTACATGAAATTTGATGTTTTAAATACTGAAATTAGGGCCAGGGATTTAGCTCAGCGGTTCGGTGGCCTGCCTTGCAAGCTCAAGGACCCGAGTTCAATCCCTGGTACCAAAAAAAAAAAAAAAAACAAACAAACAAAAAACAAAATAAATACTGAAATTAATTCAAACTTTAAAATACTGTGTAGACTGAAGAAATAATTCTGTTGACCATACTCAACCTACAAGGCTCAACACCGACTGCCTTAAAGACAGAATAGCTCAAAGGCCAGACTGAAGGAAATAAAGTGGCTAAAACACACGCCTTTGAAAAGGGTGGTGGAAGCACAAATAGACACTCTACCCAAGCAAGGGGCTGGGGCCTCAAAACTCAACAGTCTGCCCTGCCTAACAGTGCCTACTCTGTGTGGTGGACCAGGCCCCATCTCTCCAGGACAAAACCAAGGAGCCTGCTCCCATGCTGTGCTACCCTTCTGACCTGGATGTAGCTTCGTGAGCCGGCTAGCTTCAGGGAGGGCACACACTGAACATAGTCCCCACCCAGTTTCACAAGAGGCTCATACCCTGAACCGAAATCCAGTTGGTAACTGGCTGCTGTGGACTGTGAATGTGGCTGGACACCGTTACCCCCGAGACAGACGCATTCCATGCTGTGTAGTCTGATCTATGGGAAAACCCAGACCCCAGGAAATCACAGTCTTCAGCCGCACCCTGACCTGAGTACACACATTCATGGAAAACCCACTACCTACACCACAGGAAACACCTCCCAAATCCCCTCCACCAAAAGGATGAGAAGTCATGCTTCCACAGTACACATGGCTGGGGACAGCTTTCCTCTGCGCTTGCCGTGAATGTGCCAACTTCTGAACCCTTGCTGTTCCCTCTATGTGGCCATACCCACGACTTCTCTTCTGATGATGAGCTTTCTTTGCCCCATACCCGAGCACAGAGCCCTGAACTCACCCATGTCACAGCACCAATCAGGGAGCTCCTGTCTCCTCTCCCACAACAGGAGCTCCAAGTAAGCAGGACTGTGGTTACCTCTGCATTCACACACATGCCCAAGCCATGCTCAGCAGCTGTTTAAGGAATGAATCTGTACTTGCCTCAGTTCAAGCCTTAACCCTTATACCCACCTCCTCGGCTCTGCTCACAGACCTCACAGGTCCCTCCACCCCCAACTGAAAGCATCATCTTCCCACCCCTTCACCTAAAACATGTCTTCTTTCTTCCTTCTTCCCCGAAACTCGGCCAGCTCCCTCAGGGGCTCACACTTAGACCTGGAAGAGGGATGTCACTGCAGCCTCTCCTCATTCTACATCCAGTCAGCCATCAAGCCCTTCAAGCTCATGTGGCCACTCCACTTCTTCTCTCTGCCTGTCCTCCATTCCTTGCTTTGCCCCCACAGTTGTGCCCACCACTCCCTACTGTCTGGGTGCCTGGGGCAGCTAAGACCAGTCTTCCACCCTGACCCCGCATCCACCCAGCCCCCAAAGATGGCTCAAAAGTTATCTTTAAGTTTAAATCTGTTCCTGTCATGCCTCAAGCCCCATGACTAACCTTTTAGAGGCTGCTAACATGCCTCTAGGATAAAACCCAAATTCTTCCACAAGGCTCACATGACCTCCTTAGCTCCCCACCCCTCACCTCTTCCACCCCCCTTCCAGAACACAACTCAGGCCCTGCGGCACATCCTTCCCTGCCTGGGCCACACCATGCTCCTCTTGCCTATGGACTTCCGCACCTACTGTTCCCTGGGCCTGGAACACCCTTCCTTCCCTTTCTCTGTCCAAGTTACTCCTCCTATCCTGGTACAGTAGTCCACCATCTCCATGCTTTGGATTTCTGTGGGTTCAGTTACCTATGAAATTAAGTAGACAGTCTTAAGGTCTAGAAATATTAAGCAGAGAAGCAAAGAAACAACTAATTCCTATTTTTAATATTCATGCCATCCTGATTAGCATGATAAAACCTCACACTGCCCAGCTCCATTCCCCAGCACACAAATCATCCCTGTCTAGCACATCCACCCTGTACACGCTGCCCACTTTAGTCACTTAGTAGTCTCCCTGGTGATCTGATCACCTGTATCGCAGCGCTTGTGTTCAGGTAAGCTTCATATAGTGGCCTAAAGCTACATCCCAAGGTCTGCGTCATCCACCTCGCTTCACGTCGCCACACAGACACCACACCATCATCATCACAAGAAAGTAAATACCGTGCAGGGAGAGATTCTGAGAGACAGATCATATTCACATGCCTTTGTTACAGAATATCATTATGATTATTCTATTTCATTACTGGTGTTAATGACCTACTTTATAAATTAAACTTTATCAAAGGTGTATATGGAAAAAAACAGTTTATACAAGGTTCAGTACTATCAGTTTTCAGGCATCAACTGGGAGTCTTGCAATTCATCTCCTGGGGCAGGGTGGTGGGAGACAACTATATTCCTCCAGGAAGCTCCTTCTAATCCCGCTGAACTGAATTTGATAAATACGTTAACCCAGCATTTTCCCATCTACCCTTATTCTGTTTCTGTCGTCCACCTCTTCTATTTAAATAGCTTAAATTTACACAATGAAAGAGAGGGACAATCACTGCTGTGCACAATAAAAGATGCACAGGAAGTACTTGTTGAATAAAGGACATAAATGATCCAGTGGAACAAACGAATCATGCGCCAGGTGGGTCAGGCCCCTCCCAGGATCTTTCCAATTATTCTCTCCCAAGATTCTTTGCAAATCCCCTCCAAGTGCTCCCTTTTCTTCTCTTTCACAGGCTCCAGGAATTCTGACTTTGCTTCTTTGATGGCTGCCCACACATTCTATTATACTCTATTCCCTAGGCCTTCTACCCCTAATATGCCTGCCAGTAACCTGTAGTTCCCTCAGGAAGATGAGTCCAGAAGCTCCCTAAGGGCTTCACTGCTGATCAGCTGGGACAAACACTACAGAATGTAAGGTATTTGTGTGGCCATTCTCACATTGTGTGGCTCCTCTCTGTGGATGATGCTGGAAAAGGTCAACACCCTGAGGGGGAGGCTTAGCAAAAAGGCACCCTCCATGGAGGTTTCGCTTCCTTGCACTGTGGCCAAGAAAAACACAGGTCTCAAATGAGCAAACTGAGATGATACTCATTTCACACCCCTCCAGGTCCACAGAGAACTCATTTCCCTAACCACAAAACTTGCATTTTCCAGACCAAAGCTAAGGAAAGGCTGCAGGGCACCTAATGAAGACTGGCTCCTCTAAAGGCTCAAATTATGACCCTTAAATAAACATGGAGACCATGGCTTTCCCACAGGGCCTATTTACTGTCTTTCACAGATAATCCTAAAAGGCTGGCTAATCTGATTTCCCAACCCATAAACAAAAAGAAGTGGCACTGAGACAGATATCAAAGCAAAGAGCATTTGTGCACAACTGTGATGGTAGCACTACTGCTGGGGGTACCCAGTGACCAAGGACAGGAACCACAGACAGAATCTCTGGAGTAATTACTCACTCTGGAACAATTTCCATCAAATTGCACACAAACCCAGCTCTTCAACAGATAGGTCACCGGGTAGTCTCACTTATACTTAACCCACTCTTCCACTTAGTGACTACCAAAACAGAGCAAAGGCGCCAAAACGCAAGATTCATGGTAAACAATAACAACTCATCTTTATCATAACAAACTTGTATCAACCAAATGATTACAAGATATGATTAACATACAGATGCCCAGAGGCCCAACTCTCCATCCACCTCTCTGAATTAAATAGCATACATTTCGTTCTGGGTCATCAAAGAATTCTATATTTAGTGTACACTGTTTTGTTTTGGGGGCCTTGCACTGTAATAATCTGTGCCTCTGGTGAGCATTAAAGAATGTAAGGAGAGGCTGGGAATGTAGCTAAGTGGAGAGTACATGTCTAGGATGCACAAGGCCTGGGTTCAAACCCTAGCACTTAAAAAAAAAGATGTAATGGAAAACAGGTCAAACAAAATTCACTATGTGGTCATTCGTGTTCCCTCTGGAAAGAACCACAGAGAAATTTCCCTCTGACAGTGCCAAGTAAAACTGGGCTCCTCTTTATTTACTGGCTTATTTTACCTTGTGAGTAATGCAAATCTCATGTCCACCAAGATTGTTTTTCGTTTTTTCCTCTGGCCATCAGGAAGTTTATAGCCAAAACCGAACACAAGATTATGCATCTAAGTATAACTTTTCAATATGAATTTCTATTTACTAATTCTGTCTGTCCTCATTTTACTATCTTGGCGGCGGGGTATCAGAGATCGAACTCAGGTCCTTGTGCTTGCGAGGCAGGCAGCGGAACCAGTGAGCTAAATCCCTGGCCCTCATATTACTATCTTATTCCTTTCTACCCTGATTGCACCCCTCGTTTTCTACTTTACTATGCTGGATATGTTCCAGCAAATCACTCAAGTTCTGTGGGAAACGATGAGAGAGGGGAAGGAAAGAGAACGATTCGTCCCCCATGCTGCCAGTAATGAGATGTTAGAGTTTCACAGGGATCAGAGCCAGACCTGTCTTTCTCCTTCAGGACCAGAGACAGGTCCACCTCGTCTGCATGCATCTTCTTCATTTCTGAAAGCTTGCTTTCCATGCTCAGCCGAAGAGCCTTCTCTGTTTCTGTCCCAGCAAAGGCCTTTTCCAGTTCTGCTTGGGCAGCTTTCACATCCTAGAGTTAAATTAAATGCATTTGATGCAATTTTTCAATACAATTGGGAACATTTTGAAAGGAAATTGGATTAAAATATAAATATTTATGACTTTTTCTCCAGCACATTTCCCCTCCCTGAATTGTACCATACATGGAAAGAATCAGTAATAAATACATTTGCCAGCCATTTTTCCCTCTTGTATCCTGAAGAGTAATAGACATTTCCGATGGAAAAGACTCAACTCTACAAAAACTGTTACTTTTGGTTTTGAAAAATCAGATCAATATTTACGGCTTCAATGAGAACAAGAAGAAAATGCACCTCTCAATACTAAACACACATAAATTCCAAAGAATCACCTTAATCTCCATACGAATTCATCCCACACCCCACCGCCCCTCTAGCTATTTCTTTTTAAGATAATGACTAACAATTCTAAAGTACATTTTCTATATCTCCAAGGAGATTTAGGTGGTGAAAACCCTGTTCCTCCTGAGAGCTCAGCCACCAAGAAAATTACCTAAACCATAGAGGCAGTGTCTGTGTTCAGGAAAAAACTCAGTGCTTGTGCAAGGGACTCAGCAGTTAGTCTAAATCTCCACTACTCAGGCCCACTGCCTTTGATTGCATCATAGAGATAAAGTGAATCGAACTGGGCTCAAACCCCAGTTCTACTTACCTATGACATTCTGAGGCTTATAAATCTATAAAACAGGGACAACCACTTTTCCATCAAAGAGCATCTGTGAGGCTCTGTCCAAAACCAGCTGCATCACAAGAAGCTCAGAAACTGTTGGCTTCCTTCTCCCTGCCCTTTCCCTGTACTTCCCCTGCACCATCTACCCCAAAAGCTCACCTGTCAGTCTTCATCATGAAAGCTAGGAAAACACATCTCCTGCACTCTTAGACAGCGAACAAGAAAGCCATTTACTGAGTGCCTACTAAATGCCAGGTTCTGAGCAAGAAGCTTTATTTATATCATATTCCATCCTCACCCAACCTGGAAATGTTATATACTGAGATAGTATAGCAGTGTAGAATGCAGGTCGGCAGCCAGACCACCTGACATTTATTGCCCATATGACCTTAAGCAAGTGAATTAGCCGTTTTGTTTATTTATTTAAATTTTTTATGGTAGCAAAGTTTTATTAATGGTAGGAAAAGAAACAGGCTCTGCAGAGCAAGTTTGGACAAAGTAAAAGTAGAAAAAGAAGTATACCCTACAGTGAGGGCGGGCCACCATTCAAGAGGGAACACATCATCTGCTCAAAAAAGAAAGAAAAAAGGAAAGGGTGATGAAAGTATTCACTTCATCAGTTACCTGAAAGAGCTAAGTCAATATACATAAAGGCCCAGGAGGTACTTTCCCCAGTATAAGCCTAGGCCAGACGGTCAGACCACTCTTGTTAATGCAGTGACTGCTGCAGAGCAGTGCACTGTCCTTACTTCCCAGGTACAGAAGGCAGATGCCTCCTCACTCAAGGTGAAAAAGACAACAAATGAAAAAGCAGGGACCAGGTACCTCAGCACACTAGGAAGCATTTCCTGACAAAATTAGGTGACTAAATCAACAGGTTTTATCTCTTAAAAAGCATCACAATTAACTAAACTCCAGAAGACCATCCTTTGGATTATAGTTCTGTCACTTATGACTTAGACTGTTTCTCAACTCTTTCTGAGCCTCAGTTTCCTCATCTTTGGTCCTAACAGCTAAATGCCCCCATGAGAAGGAGACAAGGGCTGACATGTACCTAATGAATGGAAAAGTGTAAGGTGAAAAACACTATCTGCCTTTTTATTTCCAGAAGTGCATTTTGGTACCATTATTGTTTGGATATACTAAAAGTACCACAGATGCAGGTAGAAAATTTGAGATGAAACAACTTCAAAGACCAAAAATTAAACAATCAATATAAGTTGAGCACTCCTAACCCAAAACTCCAAACTCCAAGATGATCCAAACTCCCAAACTTTCTAAGCACTAACCAGCACGAGATCACAAGCGGAAAATTCCACAAGACCTCATATGACAAGATACAGTCAAATGCAGGCACACTACAGTAGATAAAACTATCTTCAGACTATGTGTATAATAAGGTATATATGAGCCACATATGAACTGCATGTTTAGACCTGAGTTCCGTCCCCAAGGTCTCGTCACATATATACAAATATTCCAAAATCCAAAAACCCCAAATCTGAAACAATTCCGGTCCCAAGAATTTCAGATAAGGACTATTCAAAACCTGTGTTACTGAATGCTAGCTTTAAATGAAAGAAATATTTACAACATCCAGAAAACAAACTGATTCCCACCATAATCACAGGAAACTCCTAACTAAGAACAAGGACGAGAAGCTACAGAGAGGGCCTGACAGAAAAGTCATTCCATAAACATGGGCAATGTGGCTAGACAGAAGGTGGATATGGCGGACAGAAGCTGGATGCGCCGGCTGCGAAGTTGGCCAACATCAGCTGAAGTCCTCCTTCTTCTCTAGGCCTCGGCTTCCTCATCTTTAAAGTAAAAGAACCAAAGTAGATAGCAGAGTGGTGTGGTAGAAAGAATACAGGCTTTAAAATAGTTGTTGCAGCTTTAAGCCCAAGATTAAATGGGGCCCTGTTAGTACTTCTCTCCGTACCTCAGTGTCCTCAAATGGGAATGAAGACACCAGTGGTCAGTTTGCAGGGTATGGGGTAGGGTTATAAATTACATATGTGAAATGTCCAAAATGGAGTCAGAGCCCAGGAGATGCTCAGTGAGGGAGAGGGAGCTGTTGTTTCTGCTGGAACAGTTTATGAAAAAAGAGTAAGACTGTGTTCATCCCATTATTAGCCCACTGTAAGAAGCACAGTGCCCTCGGGGTTTCCAGACTTGCCCCTTCTAGGAGGAGTATCCTTTTGGTCAAGTGATCTTCCACCTGCTGCAACTTCCTCCGAGCGTCTTCTTTCACCCGCTGAATCTCAGAGCCGCCCCCTTCAGCCAAGCTCTCCACAGCTTTGCTGCAGAAAGAGGCAAAGGGTAAACACATGAGGTGACGGTCTCACAAGCCCAGACACACAGGGGAGATTCATATAGTGACAGCCTATTTGGAGGTTCTAGCAGGGGAGTGCAGCTATTTGTATGCACTTCACCGAGGAAGTGGCCCTCATCTACTGGGGTTCAACTGAGTGCACAGCTTTGGGGGCACGGAGGAAGGAAAAGGACCACCACCTAGCCAACCAGATCAGCCGAATCAACCCTGGCGATCAATGGGGTGACAGATGTCAGACTGCCTTCACATCCAACAGGAGATACATTAGTCATCTCTCCCACTTTCCTTAGACAAACTTTGTTTAAATTAATATTTATAATTTAAAACATAGATAATAAGAATCATGTATAATCTTGTCACTCAGGAAGTCAATATTTTAGTACATGGCCTTTCAGACATTTGCCACAAAATTAAAACCATTTAGCACATGTCAGTGAACTGCTTTCATTACATTATAAACATCTTTTTGTATCAATAAATATAAATCTATAACATCATTTTAAAGGCTACACATTAATTCACTGTACGAAATATGCTATGATTTATTAAATCAATCCCCTACATTTTACATTGTTTCTGATTTAACATATTTGTGTGATAAAATTCACACAGATCTGAGAATAGTGCCTGGTACAGAGTAAGCATTCAATAAACATTAGTGTCACTGTTTAATATAATAAGCAATGCTATGATGAAAGTATCCTTGTATGTCTTCTATCCAGTGATTTCCTTAGGATGAACTCCCAGAACAAGAGTCACTGGGTCAAAGGGGAATGCACTTTACCTATCACCAAATATCCCACCAGGAAGCCTACAATAAAGCTCACTTGCACCAGTGGGGTAGGAAAGCTCACTTGACAATCTGACATGCAAAGGAACAATATGCAACAAAAATAAATCTGTAGGATTAAGGGTCTGTATGCTTTATCTTGTACCAACTGGAGGGAAACGCATTTTAACATCAGTACAATCTGTTTGTGCACAAGCTACCACTCAGGGCAGGAAAAAGGGAGACTATGCAAGCATCCTACATTCTGCTATTGTAACATAAAATGCAGAGGGCACACCGCTGCAGCACCTGGAATATTCTCTCTGCATGACAATTAGTGCTAGGGATAGCACACCAAAAGACACAGGGCCACACTCACTGACGCCTAGAGTAAAACACTGCTGGATCACATGTGGTCTGTAAGACTCACACTCTAAGCAGTCCTCCTCAGATTACTAAATGACTGCAGGTTTCCAGAAAGCAGGATAACAGAGGAAATGGCTCCCCCTAAAGCTAGTTTCGCAGAAAAACTACAACAGAAAAAAAAAAAAAAAAAAAAAATCTCTTCACCATGAGCCTCACGTGCCCTACTTTAGAGGTATATAAAATTTCCCCAACCGGGAGCTGTGTGACCAGACATTCATACATCCAGGCCACTCAGACTTTTTACTGCGAACAACAGAAAGTCAAGAGGGCCACCCTTGCAGTTCAAGTCTCAAACAGGAGCCATCTGCAAATATTTTATTCATATCCATTTTTCCTCTTGCCAGCAAAGCTTCAAAGGTCCCAGTGTCGTGATATCATACTAATGGAATTCACTGTGAACAACGAAGGAAAGGAAGAACACAGGCTTGACGCTGGAGAAATCTGTTTCCAAATTCCTGCTCTGCCCTATCCCAAAGTGACCCTGGGTAAATTACCCAGCCTCGGTAAATTGCCTGTTATACCTCAGTTTTCTCATGTGAAAAATGAGATGATTACCTTTAGAATTAATGTCTAACACACAGAGAGCCTCTTCCTGCTGAATCTGAGTGCTCTGCATGCAAGGCCACTCCCCTGAGGCGTAGGCAACACTGGCCCCACAGAGCTGCTGAGAGGCCGCCTGCCGGGGTCTCAGCTAAAAAAGGTCATCTTCTGACCAGAACCAAGGCCGCCATGTCCACTTCCTGATTAATGCCACTAAGTGTCCTCAGCCCCCTCTCCCTCGGCACACTCTGGGTCAGTGCTGTCACAGATTCACAGTGACTCATCATTTCTGCAACTCCTCAAGGGACACCACAGATGGCCAAAAGAATTCTAGACCAGACGCCCCTCCTTTCCAAGCTATAGATAACAGGATTTTTCTACTCCTGAATTTCTGCTACACATTGACAAATGTCTTAGCCTTGGGGTTTAATGGGGAGCTCTCTATGAAACAGCTCCCCTCTGTGAATCCTACCCAAACCCCTCCACCCCCAGAGGACAAACAGTCCTGTTTGATCAGCCAGATCCAACCTTGGCGTTTTACAGGCTGAATCACATCCACTGTCAAGAGGCTGACTACAATTTTTAACAACTACTGGTATTATTCAGTTTGTTTGTGTTTTAGTTATACCAATGAAATACATTCTCAATAATAAATGTTCCAACTTTTCATTTATCATCTTTGTATTTTTCAGTTACTGTAGCAATAAAATTTATACTCAGCAGTATGGTGCAATTTTCCTCTGCTAATGGAATTATTTTTTTGTGTGTGTTTTAAAGCAGCAAAGATAAAATTTACTCCCAACAATATGACTGATTTTGTTTTTAATGTACCCTTATTGTAACTGATAAATATAATAACAGAAAACCAACAAAAAAGTATGTTTGCCTCACAGCAAGGTAAAATGGGTTCTGCAGCCAGACCAGACCCAGTTGTTACCAACTCAAGCAAATTCATCTCGGCCTCACTTTCTTCATGAAAATGGGAAGCAACACTGACTGCCTCACCTAACTGTAAAGATCAAATGCAATAAAGCATGTGCCAGGCACAGGAACTAAGTTTGGGACTAAGTGGATCTTTTTTTTTTTTTTTAAACGATGGGCTCCTGCTTTCTATTGTCTGTTTGTTTGTTTATTTTGGTGCCAGAGATCGAACTCGGGTCCTTGCGCTTATGAAGCAGGCGGTGGAACCACTGAGCTAAATCCCCAGCCCCTAAGTGGATCTTAATCATTGGTAGTTCTGCCTTCTGGCTTGCTTGTTTGTTTGGAGACAGAGTCTTCCTATGTAATTTAGGCTGACATTAAACTCACTATGTAGCCCAGGTTGGCCTCAAACTTATAGCGATTCTCCTGCCTCAGCCTTCGGTGTGCTGGGATTATAGGCATTTAACACTACGCCCACCTTATCCTTTCTTTTCTTGTAAAATATGGGTCAAGAGACAAGGCACAAAGTAAGACCTAAGGGGAAATTTAATCCAGCTTTCCACCCAACACAAAGAAAGAACATTCTATAAACAATATCCTTGTTACATCAACATTTACTCTGGATTCTTTCCGTCCTAATTATAGTTCTGTAAGGGGAAATGTTTTTTTTCCAATGAAAGATCCCATACCCAATCCCTGTCCCTCACCAAAAATCATAACACTGAAAAAGGAAGCTGAAGGCATTACATTAATAAAGACATATTCCCTCAGCAAGTATCGACCATAGGCATGCTGCGGGTGCTGGGTAGTTAAGCACAAACAGAAAGGCACATTTAGCAGTTACAGGGTAGACACTGTCATTGAACAGGCATACAGAGAGTTAAAAAACAGGACACGAAACTTGGCTCTGGGCCAGGCATCAGGGAACTGTATTCTAATCACAGTTCTGCCATTTCTGGCTCCGAGTCACGGGTCCTCCCTTCACTAGGCCTGCATTCCTTCCCTACACAACGAGGTTATTCCTTGAGATCTGCCCAGCTCCCAGGATAATGATGCAATGTAAATAGACGTCAACTGCTTTATAAGCTGAAAAGTGCTACACGTATGGGATTGTCACAGCATCCCAGAGAAGGCTGTGGAGAGACTGGTGTGGGCCGGGGAAGCTGTGTGATCCACGATCTGAACCTTTATGAAGGGTAAAGTTATGGGAAGGCTCTGGGCTGGGCAGGATGAGAAGAGGAAGATATCTGCTGGGGCAAAGCCAGAGCAGCAGCAAAAAGGAAAGCTGGAGCATCTCTGAGCTGCATTTCGGTCAAAGAGATGGTAGAGGCGAAGCTGAAGGGGCAAAGTCCCTGTGAGCATTCTCAAACAGAGCTCCAGACTCGTGCAACACCAGGGGCTGCTGGTGGTGCCTCCTAGATGTCTTCCCTACCCACCCACTCGCTGACTCCAACAGCAGGCTCCCACCTGCCCCCCTGGACTGGCCTCCTAACTCACCTCCCTGGCCCCACTCAGGCTTCAGTATCATCCACCTCCCACCAGCATCCAGAGTGACTTTTTCAATAACAAAACTTCTTGGTAGTGACACTTGCTTACTTGATCTTAGGATAAAGACCAAAACCTTGACTGTTCTAGTCTTCTCATGTTTCCTCAGACATCCCTTTCTCCTTGAAGACTTCATCCATTGACCTCCTTAATTCCAACTTATGACTCAGAATTCATCTCAAATGTCACCTCCACAGGGACACTTTCCTTGTTTATATGTATCTGTAACTATGTATCTATATCTATTCCCACAGCTATAAACTCTCATTGTTCCCTTTATTTTTCTCTTAATTCTTCTCCCAATTTCTATGCATACATTAACTATTGCAGATATCTTCTCACCATCACCTCCACTAGAATGTAAGTAGCCCTCATGTGTCTGTGTCCATCACCACTGGATCCCTAGGAACCTTGTCAAGTGCAGCACACAGTAGCTACTTAATAAATATTTCCTGAAAATCGCTTCTCAGCCTTTGGCTAAGATCAAGTGTAATAAATATTTCCTGAAGAAGTTAATTAATAAAGCTGGTCAGATCACAAAGGGCCTTCAACAGCAGTTTGGGTGCATACAAACTTGTGCATGAACCCCCAAAACACTCCATTCTATGTGTTGGCCTTGAGGCACGAGCATAAGCCCTTGTGAGTTAGGGTTTCCACATATAAATGCTTAGCTAAAAGCAAGTCCCAGCCAAGACCCACAACAGGCAAGGAAATTAGTATGAAACAAATCAAATTCTATTACTGATCTTTAGGCCTAGTAATGTTGATTTGCCTCGCTGCCCAGAGAGTGATGTACTTCCAAAATATAACAACAATAACAAAAAAAAAAACAAAACTTGTTAATCTGACTATATTTATTAATTCATCCACTCAATTCAGAAAATACCATGTGTCCAAGTTGAGCATAACTCAGAAGACAAGCCTGGGCCTCTAATCTGCTTGAAGCCAACATAGGCCAACTTCCAGCTGCTGAACCCTGTGGTAATGAGGAATTATCCTGGCCTGGTCCAGAGCAGTGCAGCTGTGCCCTAAGCCAGGCTCCATGCTCCTGGCCCACCACACACAGCAGGACCTCTGCTGCCCAGACAAGTGAAGCATTTCCACATAAATTCGAGGGCAGCCCTGGGCAGAGGTAGGTCGACAACCCTCTTATTCTACTGTCATCCTACTTAACGAATATTTCCTGAAGATGTTAATAAATCTGGTCAGATCACAAAGGGCCTTCAGCGGCAGGCTGGACACATACAAACTTATACACGAGCCCCCAAATGCTCCATCCTGTGTGCTGGTATTGAGTCCTGCACAGAAGCCCTTGTGAGCTGGGGTTTCCACATATAATGGAAAACTGAGCACAACTGAGCACGCTTTGCTGTCCTCATCTTTCCCGTACATGCATCTATGGCCATTCCTCTACTACATGCCACTCATCCACGGATGTGACATACCTCCCAGCAGTCTCTGGGAGATTCTCAGTGTGTGGCACAAGTAATTACATAATCAATGGTAATGAATGAACGAGGAAGCCAGTCCATGGGCTGCATTCTCTTAAACTCTGCTTGTTATTCAAAGCATATTTGAACAAATTGATGAAAATACTCATTTACAAATTTTTTAAGTACCAGAATCCCTTTCAAAGAAACCATTACAAGGAACTCTAGTACAGGTAACAGATTTTAACAACAGCTAACGCTGATTGAATCCAGTCCTGCCTCCCTGCCTCACCTTCCAGGACCTCCTCAGATACACCTGACTTGATGAGGAAAGTGAATGTAGATTCTCATTTTCAGTATTAGTTTACCAAGGAAAGGAGCCAGACATAAAACATATATACTGTACAATTTCATTTATATTAAATTTTAAAACAGAACTAATCAATCCTATTAACAGTGATCAGAACAGTGTTTATCTTGAGGCGGAAAGGTAAGTTCTTTGAGATCATAAAATGGGGTTCTGAGGACTGGTAATGTTCTGTTTCGTGATCTAGATGGTGACTCCGTGGAATAAACAGTTTGTGAAAATCCATCACGCTGTACACTTAAGACCTCTTCATCTAGAGAGTTACACTTTAAAAGCTAGTTGCAAAATAAGTAATTAAGGAAAAAGTAAAACCTCCTGAGGGGTCCTCAAAGGCCAGCTGGAAAACAAATGGCTTAGAAATGTAGTTGGTTCTGTGTCAGTGAGCAGCCCTGTAGCCACAAGAAGCCCTGGAGACCTCCAAGTTTTGACAACATGACAAGTACTCACGAGGCTTTGATAAGCAGCTGCTCTTTCTCGTGGAGCTCCCGCTTCAGACTTTCTACTTCCACCTTGAGCTCAATGTTCTTCCACACAAAATAAAGAAAGAAAAGAAACAGTGTAAGATACAAGACACGCAAAGGCCCACAGTGGGCAAACCACTTCCAGCACAGACTGACTACTCAGTGCTTATAATAGCAGATGTTAGATTCAAAACCCTCATTAGCCTCAAGGCACAAGAAAAAGGGAATTATTATACACGGGTGGTCTCAAAAGGAAGACCTGGATTTCTCTAGACTTGGAACCATTATGTAAATGTTCCAAGCTCCTAACAGCCAGAGCATTCAAATATCAAGGCATAAATGTCATACAAGTGAGGCTGATTTAAAAATGGTTTGCCCTCCACCAAGCAAATTTACACTTTGTTTTTACTATTCCAAGGCAATTATTTCTGGTTGTTTACAATCATGCATGTGGTGGTTGCAGCAGTGGGAACATATTACAGCTTAAAAAAAAATAATGGATAAGTGTGAGGCCACACCATGGCCTGTCTCGTTGCAGTATAAAATTCCAGGGCACTCATTTATAAAAAGCCACAACTGAATAGGGAAAGCTGTCTCTAAAGGACATCATGGTGTTCTCCAACTAACTGCCTTCTCTTAACTCCCTGGAACAAAGGGAGTCGCACATGGCCCTGGGCTTACAACTCATGTGAGAATCCAAAGACAGAATCTTTGGCAGATGGACCGCAACATGAGACAATGGAGCAACTGTGGGCTTCTCAAACTAACCCACAAATGGACCCCAGGAAGAATATTAGATGGATTCATGCAATAGAGACAGAGATCTGGGTGCATGGTTTGGAAATATAAGAGTTCTCTGCATTTTCTCGCCTATTTTAATAATTCATGTCAGTTTTATACTCTACTCTCTAACATGTATATTTTAAATTAAAATAACATTTCCAGTAACATTTACAATCTCAAAGGCCATGCCTCTCTCCCTTCTCCTAAGCAGCCCTGGGAGAGCAAGTACTGTAAGTCAAAAGCATGGCCAGAGAGGAAAGGCCACAGGCACAGGACCAGAAGTCCAGGGTTCAAAGTCCAAGAAGAGATCAATGCAATAGTAGTAAGTCAGTGTACACTCACTTATTCACTCCTTCCTCTACACCTACCAAGCACCTGTGACAGGCCTAGCACTGAGGATAGTGGAATGAACAGGATACACATAAGCCCTGCCTTCATGCTACCAACGAACACAGATCTGGAGGTGTGGCATTCCTTGTCCTTAGAAGCACAAGTCCAGGAGGTAGGAAAGTAATGTTACTCCTTTCAGATCCCCCAAGAAACAAGTGAAAAGACGAACACAACACTGGAGATTGAGAACTGAATAAGCCAGCAAATGAGAAAGACTTTGATTATTTTATTACTATCAAACAAGAACTAAAGAAGTCACGTATAAGGCAGAATTTTTTCTAGAAGAAACTGATCCTTTCACAAAGGATACTGAGTGGCAGTGTAAAATGACTTCAAGAGTGCTCCATGAAAACTGCAGAAATGCCCTTAAGCAGATGATTCCTTTTCCAGCTCTTACAAGGGTAAAGAGCTTCAGGGTTGGAGCAGATAACTGCACAGGGCTGTCCTGAGAATTACAAGATGGCAATCATACAACATCCAATGTGGTACCTGACACAGTGAGCAATGGGACACGGTTTAGCTGCCTACCAGCCCAGAAGTGCAGACATGCAGGACTACATATTTACACATAAAATGCTTTAGACCAATGGTTTTCCTCTGCAATTCTGATTGCATCACCACAGCCTTCCAGAAAAGGAAACATCGTCATGGTCTTTCTACCCCCACACTGAAAAAAAACTGTGCCTTCAGGGACAAGGGAGCTTTTCAATTCTTGAAAAGGCTCAGGACAGAACAATTCTTCTTCAGGAAAAGTCCATTTAAATTCCTCTGCTGAAACTCAAGGAGAGTTCTTTTTCTCCCTTCAAAAGTTTCCACTGGTACAAACTTCAGAGGACAAAAGACAGAATTATTCTCAGTCCAAGGGCTAATCTACCAGAAAAAGCTAAGAAATGGGCACCAAAATATTGTTTGTACTCATGTCTTTTCAAGAAAGCCAAGTTCTTTTTTCAACTTTCAGAACCAAGGTTTGTTTTCAGACAAAGACCTCCAGGTCAAGACTTCAAATAAGAATAGACTTTTTTTCCTGACAGTTCTAGGCAAGCACAAAGGAATATAGAAGAGTCAAACCACAGAAAAACTGACAATCTGAACTCTGAGCAGCCAAAGGAAACCTCTCTAAGACAATGATGACAACTGTCAAGCACTGACTGTGTGGAGCTTTTCAGCTGTCATTCCATTTGAATCCAAACAAATGACCCTATGACACAGGGATTATCACTCAATTCTAGAAGCAAGCCCAGAGAGCTGAAGTGACTTGCCCAAAGTTACCCAGTTACTTGGTTAAAAGAATACACTCCAAAGCCATTCTAATGGTTCACCGCCTGTTTCTAAATAACGAATAATTATAAACAGGTAATTAAGATAAAGACAGTGAAACAATTGTGACTTCCTTAAAATTAATCATGTGCCTCTTTGATTAATATGAGGGTCATCCTAATATCTTTATATTCCTCCTAATCAATCCAAATTAAATGAGAGCAGCGCTACCTATGCATACTAACTCTGAAAGTTAAGTATCAATCAAGTATCTGCTTGGAATGACTAGGAAAAAAGAAAAGGAACAGCAGAGTGACATCGGCCACTCACAGTTTTATAGATGTGTTCAGTGGGGCCGGCAAATTCCTGTTGCATTCTTTCCTCAAGGAAATAGATGCGGAGCTTTAGGTTAAAGTTTTCTTTCTTCAACTCAGTGATATGCTGAAACATAAGCACAAAAGGGTTATTTAAATTAAACAAAAGGCAGAGGATCTAACAAATAGTAACTACATTAATCCCCGCAGCTTCCAGTGCTACAAAAGGGAATCAAGTGTTCAATACCAGAGAGGGCTCACCTTTGCTACAATCACACCACCCAGAAGAATTAAGTAGTTCCCACTAGTCAAATTTAGGGTAATGAATAACAACCGGAGTGAATGATGCTTGACTAAAGAAAGAAATCATGGCTCCACACTGATGGGACAGGAGGGAAGGGAAGAGAAGGAAGAGGAGAGTCTCCCCTTTACCCAGTCAACCAATGTAGAAAAATAATATGAACAGAAAATCACCATTATGTGACCTCCATAATAATAACTGATTCACATAAGAATCATCAACACTAAACACATTAGATGAAAGATCACTGGAAAACAATATGTTCAGTCTCAAGATATCCTTTCACAGGGGACTTACTGATTACAAGAAAAAAAAGTACCACTGCAATTTAGAAATCTTGAAAACTGTCCAAGATGACAGGTACTTTTGGGAAGAAAGAGTGGGTGGCATTCGAGAAGAGCCAGGAAGGAGATTTCTGGAATGCTGATAATGTTCCATTTCTTGTTGATGGTAATAGTTATAGGGGTGAGGGTTTTTTTTTTATATTTAATTCACTGAACTGTTCACATATGGGTGTGTTCCTATAGGTATACTATACTTCAAAACGTTTTTGAAGTCCAACACTGCAGGGTTAAATTATTTAAAATTAACTAATCTATGGTTAAGTGATGGTTATATCCACTTGGCGATATATTATAGAATCTTTAAAAAAAGACAGAGACCACTCTGTATACTCATATAGCAAATTATCTCCAAGGTGTGTTGTAAAATAAAAATACTATAATATAGACCAGTGGTGGTGAACCTATGGCATGCATGACTCAGCCAGTTGTTTGTTATCACTGAAAGCTCTAAAAGGTTTGAGAACACTGATACAGACTATTACTTATGGAATGTTATTATTTAAATAAAAAGCATGGGGGAGAGGGTATAAAAGGAGAAAAGTGTTAATCAAAGAGTATAAAGTTTCAGCAAGACAGAAGGAGTCAGTTTTAATGATCTTGTACAAAACTGTGACTCAAAAAATAATTCACTGTATACTCCAAAATGGGGGCTGAGACATGAATGCATGCTTATTGGCTTGATATAAAGCTATACTCAGAAATATACTATATATTCTTTTTTACCTTTTGAATGCTTGTTTGTTTGTTGAAACAGGGTCTCATTATATACTTCGAGCTGGCCTTGAACTCAGTATGTAGCCCAGGCTGACCTCAAACTCACAGCAATCCTCCTGCCTCAATCTCTCAAATGATGGGCTTACAAGCATGCATCGCCATGCCCGGCCTTACCTTTTGAGTTTTATACCATATAAATTCCATAATTTAAAAAATCAAAAGCATTTAATAATAGACATATGCAATCTTTTTTAAGACTGTCTGAATTGTGACAAGTGCTGATTGGTGTTTTACTAAATCTAGTATGTCTGCTCACACTATAAATCATGCATCTGTTTTCATTCACAAATCCACTCACCAAGCTTACTTCTCGATTTTAATGCAGAAATCACCAGGGGCTTTGGAGACAATATTAAGGTCAATCTTAATTTTTTCATGCTGCAACCCTGAACATGCTACCTCTCCCTGGACATGCTTCCTGATCTTTAACATTAAGGATAATAAAATCAACCTCACAGATTTTTGTGAGGAGGAAATAAAGGCATTTGACTATATCAAAATGTGAAATTCTTTATAGTCAAAGGACTAATGTTTGTAATATGTAAAACCATGCCCCAAGACATTAGGATATACAGTCTTAAAATGAATGTAAAAGAGTAATTCTCAGCAGAGGAACAGAAAGCATAAAAGAGAACCAAAGAGAAATTTTAAAACTGAAAAATAAAATATTAAATAACAAGTTGAGTAGACAGTCTCAAAAAATGAAAATGAACTTACAAAGAGATCAACAAAAGTTATTCAACACAAAAAGAGGAAAAAGAAAAATTGAAAAAGTTAACATAGCTTCTGAGACAATACTCAAAGGCCCAACATTCATTAAAGTCCCTGAAGAAACCCAGAAATACAAAAAAGAATGTGGTACAGAAGAAATATTTGAAAAAATAATAGCTTTACATGTTCTAATTTTGGAAAAAGGCATAAAACATACAGAAGCTTACCAAATACCAAAAAGGATAACCCATTGAGACCAAAGCAACTCTCAAAAGCAGCCTGAGAAAAATAACACATTACATATGGGAAAAGGAACAATGATTCAAGTTGATGGCCCACTCCTCATCAAAATCATAGAGGCCAGAGGCAGTGCAACATTTTTAAAGGGCTGAAAAGAAACTTTTATGCCAGAATTTTATATCCACTAAAACTATCCTTAAGGAATAAAGATAAAATGAAGACATTTTATAATGCAGAAAAAAAAGGGATTCGTGAGCAATAGATCTGCTATTAAAAGAAATCAGCGAGGTATGGTAGCACATGCCTATAATCCCAGCACTTGGAAGGCTGAAGTAGGAGGATCACCAGAAGTTCACAGCCAGCCTAGGCTACTACACAGTGAATTGAAGTCTAAACTGAACTAAATAGCAAGACCTGTCTCAAAAGAACAAAAAAATAATTCATTAATTTAAAATTTTTTAAAATGATATAGGAAGTTCTTCAGATTGAACAGAAATAATAACAAAAAGAATTGTGGAACTTCAGAAATGGAAGGAAAAGAAAAACAAATGGCAAATATCTGAGGAGCTACCAAAGAAGCAATTAAAATGAAAAGCCCAAAATTCTTTTAAAAATGCATGATAGTCAAAAACAAAACTACAACAGTCTAGTGGAGTTTTCAGTGTAAGTTACAATAATATATATTGGAGATAGGCAGTGTTAACATTTTCACATTTTCCTTATGGTGAAATTAAAAAGTTAAATGTGTACATAGATGTATACTTATATTTGTATGATAATCGCTAAAGCAATCACCAAAATTTAATAACAGTTTTAAATAAATTCAAAGAAATATATTCAACAACTTGCCAGAGGGCCAGGGATTTAGCTCAGTGGTACTGCCACCTGCCTCACAAATACAAGGTCCCGAGTTCAATCCCCAGTACCAAAATAAATAAACTTGCCAGAGAAATTTAAATGGAGTGGTAAAATAATCTGAAAGAGGTTTCAACAGGGAAACAGAAGAAGGAAAAACAAAAAACAAGTAAGAAAATGGTAGGCCTAAATCACAATACATTCATATATTAAATGTAAATGGAATAAACATTCCACTTTAAATATGAGAACAAATTTAAAGAAAAAAATTACATGCTATATATCAAGAATTTACTTTAAATATCATAATAGAAGTAGATTAAAGTTAAAAGAATTTTAAAAGATACATCATATAAATAAACACTATTTAAAAGAAAGCTAACATGGCTATTAATATCAGAAACTAGACTTCAGAGCAAAGAAAATTACTCAAGGATAAAGAAGCACATTATATAATAATAAGGCAAAAAAATCCTAATGTGTACATGCTTAACATTTTACGTACCTTCAAGTTCATAAAGCAAAATAAAATTGAAAAGAAAAATGGGCAAATCTCCAATTACAGCTAAAAACGTCAATACTCTTCTCTCATTAATCCATAGAAGTAGACCAAAAATCAACAAGAATACGAAATAACTGAACAATATTATTAACTAACAGGATCTAATTTACATTTATGAAACACTACCCAATAACTACAGTGAGTATGGAATAGTTGCCAAGATATCCTGGGTCATAAAACAAACCTTAACAAATCTGGAAGAAATGAAAGCAAACTATGTTCTCTTACCATAATACAATTAAACTGAAAGTCAATAATAAAACTGAAAAATCTCCAAATACCGAGACATTAAACAATACATTTCTAAACAATACTCAGATCAAAGAGAAAGCCCCAAGGGAAATCAGAAGACATTTTGAATTAAACTAAAGTGAAAACACAATACATCACAATTTGTAAGATGCAGTTAAATCAATTCTTAGGGGAAATGTATACTATCAAACATTTTAGAAATAAAAGGTCTAAAATCAACAATTTAGTCTTCCTCACAAGAAAAAAGAGCAAAATAAATGCCAAATAAGAATGAAAGATATAATAAACATCAGAGCAAAAATCAGATAAATAACAGAAAAATAAATCCTAAATGTAGGTTATGTCAAATGATCAATAAACTGATTTTTAAAAATCCTCTGGCAAGGCTACTAGAGGAAAAAGAAGATACACATAAATTACCAATACCAAAAATGAAAGAGGGTTGGAGGTCTAACTCAGTGGGATGAAAAAGGATCTGCCAATATAGAGCTAATGACAATTACAAAATAATATAGGAATAATACATATAACTCTATGCACACACCAATTCCTTGAAAGCCATCAATTACTAAAACTCACACAAAAAGGGCCAGGGGATTTAGTTCAGTGGTTCTGCCACCTGCCTCAAAAGCACAAGGACCCGAGTTCAATCCCCAGTAAAAACACACACACACACACACACACACACACACACACACACACACACACACAAAAGATAACTTGAATAGTCATGTAATAATTTTTAAAATTGATTTTGTAGTTAATAGGCTTACATAAAAGAAAAATCCACATGGAGATTATTTCAGTAGAAGTTCCTACCAAATCTTTAAAGGAAAAATAACATCAATTCTATCAGATCTCTTCCAGAAAACAGAAAATGATGGCTCCTTCCCACTTCACTTTAAGAAAGAAACATTACTCTTGACACCAAAACCAGACAAAAGCCATTACAGGAAACTTACAAGTCAAATCTTTCATGACTATAAACAGAAAAATCTTCAGCTAAATTTTAGCAAATAGATTAAGTTATCCCCGCAATATAAAACTAATTCACAATTTGAAAGTCAAATATATATATAGTGAATATA